ATTTCTCACTTTCTGCCTCTCTGTCTCTCTCTTTCTGGCAAGCGCATGCACCCTACAGCAAAAATCTCTCTAAACAAAACAAAACTACCTTCCTGATCCCTTTACTTCAGCATCTTTAAAGGCCAAACACGTTACTGAGATGACAATTACCCCCTTCCCAAGCCATTTCTCTCTTTTTTTCCACCGCCCCCCACCCCCGCAAGCCATCTCTTCAAGCTTGTTCTTCTCCCCTTGGTTCTTCCTGTCTTAGAGAAGAAAACCATTAACCCTCCTATCACCCTCTTCTCCTTACCCACTACAGCTATTTGGAGGCCCCTGACACCCCTGAGTTGATATATGAAAATGCTGGTAGTTTTCATCACTTTCATAGAAAGTTCTATTATGCAAACACCTAAAGAAGCATTGCCATCTTCTCTTCACTGACCTAACTGCCGGTAACTCAGTTATATCCTCATGCTTTGCCTAAATTGCTCAAATGGCGACCACATTTGTCTGTTTACCTGCGATCACCTTTCCAACCCAATTGTCACAGTGCTCTGGTAAAGTTTTTTTAAATATAAACATCTGGGTCCATCACGCCCCTGCTTAAAAGGCTACCACTGACGCGGCTAGATTTACCCCAAGGAAACAGATAGGAATGCAAATATATAAACAAAGCTCTTTGTCACAGTATTATGTGCAATGCTAAAAAACTTCAAGCAACTTAAAATGTAACACATCATGAGATTGTAAGTGTAAGAAGATACAGTCATCTTTTGTGCTATTACATGCAGTCATTAGAGATTAGGTTCTCTAAGAACATTTAGTGGCATGGCCTGCGGAAATACTGGCAGACAACGTTAAATCAGGAAATGTAGAAGACCAACTATTGATATGTTTTGCAATCAGATCAGGTTTTTCTTACGTAGGCACAGAAACACGGTCAGGCAGACTAGGATGTTTTAACGGTGGCTATTTCTGATTGGTGGGCTGATTAGTTGACTTCCTATTTTCTACATGTTCTAATGAATTAAAAAGGAATATATGAACATTCTATAAATAGGAGGAGGGGCAACTCTGGTTAAGAATGCTGGTTTCTTGGGGCTGCAGGTAGCATGGTGGTTAAGGGTACTGGATTCCCACATGGCTAACCACAGTTTGAGTCCTGGACCTGGGGCTTGCTTTCTCACTTTCTCTTCCTCTACTTCTGTCTCTCTCTCTGGTCAAATTAAAAAATGATAATAACAAATGGAATTAAATAAATAAATAATTTTATTAAAACTTAAAAAAAAAAAAAAGGAACGCTGGCTTCTCAACCACTTCAGGATATAATCTCGAACCCTCAGCGTGTAAACACAGCCCTCGTTCCAGCCCCTGTGGGCAGCACAGCCCTTCCTAGCCATTTCGCATGCCCCGGCTCTAGGCCTAGCACAGCTTTCGGCTCCTGAAAAGGACCACATTCCTTCAGGTTCCTATCTTCATGCTCCACCACCTTGGTCAATCTGGCCAGGCCCCT